AGCAAGATGATCACTACTACGGGGGCCACCTGGGAATTTGACAGAGTACGTGAATAACAAAGAAAAAAAAAAAGTATTTCTCACAAAAGACCAAACAATCATTCAGCAAACATCTGAGAGGCTCTTACAAAAAGCCACCAAGCCTCAGGCGGGTCTCCTGCTCAGAGGAAGCAAGTGGACAACCTAATCAAAGAGATCTTGTGACATACAGAAACACCAGCAGAGCAAGGCAGAATACGCTGGATGCCTCAGAGGTATACAGTGTGCAAGAAACAGAACAGGGGCACAAAGCACTCAGGAGACGGAGAGAGGCATCAGGTCACTGCCTGAATGAGACAGACCAAATATAAAGACGACCATGTGGGAAGTCTGTCTCCTGCCCTGGGTTGCTTCCTAATTATTCCTACACAGGACCTTTAATGATTTGGAGAACAGGATATTTAGTGAAAAACTACATTCACACCAAGTTCAACTCACGAAGGCCCACTCTTCCAATTTAAAAACGCACCACGTTCACTCAACCACTTGCACGGACTCTCAAGGGACTAGAGTCTTGCTCAGACCTATAGCCTGGCTTCCACATCTTACTCAATGTGCCATGCATCATCCAACCAAAGGAGTAGTCGGTGCTCCTGGCTTGGATAGCATGCTGTAGAAAAGAACAAAAGCATGAATGAATATTCCACAAGAAGAGACTTCACTCCAGGACAAGAACATCCCACCAAGTCACGAGGAAGAAACCTGGCTGTCCGACTCTGGCAGGTCAGTACCTGGTGAGAGCGGGCAAACACGTGACCATACACTTAGGATCTATCTAACCTCATCCGAGTTTCCAAAAGCATCTCTTGTCACTCAACACTTTTGTCTTTTTTAATTAAAAAAATTTTTTTAATGTTTATTTATTTTTGAGGGAGAGAAAGACACAGAGTGTATGCAGGGGAGGGGCAGAGAGAAAGGGAGACACAGAATCAGAAGCAGGCTCCAGGCCCTGAGCTGTCAGCACAGAGCCCGACGCGGGGCTCAAACTCAGGAGCCGTGAGATAGTGACCTGTTGTGAAGTCAGACGCTCAACTGAGCCACCCAGGTGCGCCAATGCTTTCATCTTAAATAAGATACATAGGTAATCTCTCTAACAACATAAGTGGATCTTTTTTTTCACTAGAACTTTTAAAGCCAAGTGGTTGTTGGCTGAGGATTTTCCAAAACATCACATTTCTTTTGTAAACTAAAATCAGAAAAGAGAAATCCAGCATTATGTCTCTCTAGGTCAATGACATTGGTGCAGCTCAGGCCAGAAAATGCAATGCCCTACTGACATTGAACAGGGCTAAAACAGACTCCCCCCCCC